GTACCGCGGGGTTATTACCTAAAAACCTGTATGATTTGAAAAAATCGGTAAAATGTCAATTTGTGCAATAGTTAGCGGCTAGTGTTCCGCTAGTTAATAATAATAATAATAATAATAATAATAATAATAATAATAATAATAATGATAATAGTAAATGGCATTTATTCGTCGCATGATTACAAAATAATTGGCTTGATAGGAATAGTGACGAAAAGGTCGAGTGTCAGCTTATGCTGTTCTTCAACCCGACACAAACTATAAAGAAAAAAAAAGTGCCTACATTTAAATGACGCAGTTCACAACATTAACCACCAAAAAGAGAAAAGCTTAAAATATTACACTTCTCAGAAGAAGGAAACAATCAATTATATATGCGTAAAGTTAAATTCTAGCCATCCGATTGCTTTAAACTCATCTTTAACCTTTTTTTTAAATTGCTTAGGCTATATTGTTTCTACTCACTTGATAAGCAGTTATATAGTTTGGATGCCCAGTACGAGAAACTACGTGTGAAAAATGCTGTCGAATGCCGCGGGATGAAGAAGATGCGTTTATTCCTAGACCTTTGATCGTAATGACAGGCGAGGGTTAGCTTTGAATAAAGATAATATGGCGCTATAAGGAGAAGGGTCTCATGCACCAGAGATAGGCAATGCAGTTTCCTCAATTTCTTCATCTTAAACCATCCCGATTGGTCAAAAGTGCTACTAATATGATCAAATTTACGGATTCCATAAGATAACCTGATGTATGAGCTTTGTATCATCTAAATCCGCTCGGTATCACGTTGTAGGAGAGCAGGTCCATAAACAGACTCAACGCAAGATAATTTTGGCAGGATTAATGATTCGCAGAGTTTAAGCTAGAGCTGTGTTGGCAGGACACTTCGACTCGGGTATAACTGACGAAGCACGTTATACGACGCATTGCATAGTTGGTTAAAATGTTTAGTGAAGCGTAACTTGCAGTCAAACCAGATACCAAGGTTTTTGGATTCATTTACAAAGGATATGTCTTCATTATACACCTATTAATGCGATATTGATTTATTTCACGATTCTTTTTGGGCCCAAATAAAATGCAACAAGATTTGCCAGCATTCAGTTTTAGATTGTGAGCACTGGATATGTCAAAAATAGACTGCAGATCTTGATTTATTTGATGTTGCCCAAGCATATATTCATCAGGATCGAAGCTGTTATAAAGTTGGGTAGTTCAAAGATGAAATTTTATAGAAAAACCGTGCTTGGCTCATAGGTAGCAGTGTCACCTATTCTTAAATGACAATACTGCGTTTTTCGGTGTACCTACCTTATATCTTCGCTTGATTACTATCCGTCGTATGTCAACAATGACTAGGAATATATCATATTGATGACTGCTATCAAGCATTAAGCAATATCGTATGCGGTTGGCCATCGTTGCAGACATGAAACACAAGTAGACTTAGCTCAGCCTGTGTCTATTTATGCAACTTTCCTAGTAATCTTGAAAATACTTTCAATGTAAGCCAGATGCATAGGGTCTTCCATCATTTCCAACATATGGGCTAAAGATGCATTATGCTTTGCTGAATTATTTATAGGTGGCGCTTGTCAGTGTTGTCACATCTTGCACACATGGGCAAAAAACAAATTATGGAAAAGAGGTAATTCTTGGTAATGGAAATCATTACGTTCTGACTGCTTATAAAAGTCACCTCACAGAGACTGGACCTCATTTTGATATACCGCCACGAAATCGAACATGCAAATTAAAGCCGTCGCTTGCTGAAAAAATGGTAATGATAGTGATGGAATTAAAAAAGTTATCTCCTTCCGAGTTAGACCAAATTTTGTGTGATATATTGTACTAGCAAAAGTTCAGTTTTAAGGGAAATGTATGAAGGAAATATGACTACCAGGTGGCGGAGGGAGGAAAAACAGTAGAAAAAAATATAAATAAGATAACAATGAAACCACCCCTGAAAGAGCGCGTAAACATACGAACGTATTTTCGGCTTTGGTTGTACATTCGATAGATGTTCTGCCAAAACCGAAACTAACCCGAAACTCGGATTTTGAACCGAAACTGAAACCTATATATTGTCAAAACAACCGACAACATTTCAACCTTCTGACTAGATAGTTCCGACTGTTCAAATCGTTCATTCCGTTATTGTTCACTGTGAGGGTCACCAACAGCGACATCTGTGAAGGAGTAACTCAATGATCAGCTGCAAGTCAGTTCCCCAGCATGCTTTATTGGTTGCAGAATGCCGAGATAGTATGTGGAGTATATCTCTGAGAAGATGTGACATAAAAATGATTGAGTAATAGGGTAGCAAGATCGCATGTGGATGATTGGGTGGTGATTCTATGCATTGGTCTGCATGTGTATAAAATCAGTGATATTTGCTATGTGAGAAAATTAATACTGAATATGCTGCACATAAAGTTTATCTATTAGCTGTGTCAGGCGCGTTATTTGTGTTGTCCTTTCTGGGGAGAGGGTATGTTCAAAGTTATAAATTACGATTTTCCCCGGTCTTCGTGTTTTCAAAAACTTTGAGGAGAATTACAGAAAATCACCACCGCACCCCCGTTATGTGTAATTAAGCCACATCACGGAAAAAGTAAGAATGACGCATCACATACGAAACATTTCCGCCGTGCCTCACATCTATGCGCTGATTTGTATTTTCTACTGAACATAACAAAATAAATTTCAAAATTCAAATGACTGGAAATAGAAAATAATATGAAATGTAATATCATTTTCACGTTTCATAAATGTTACTGTCTGTAGCATATTTTCTCACCTGTTGGTTGTAATATACTTAGCCAACCAGAGTTTTTTTATGTCCCTCATTTTTGAAATTCAGCAAATTTGCATAGGTAATTTTCAGGATGAATAAGGAACACTAGACGCGCAACTAATTTCTAGGTTCGTATACATCTCAAGTAAGTGTATCTGAGACAAGAAACCAAAGAAATTATCATCTCACAAATCCTCACTGTGCACCTATGCGCTGCCGTTTCTTTCCAGCTATAGTAAATAACTTACAGGTAAGACCTTTGTTCATGCCATCTCTGAAGCAGATGTTACAAAAGAGCCAAACATTAATAGCTGAAGCGTCATGACGTTTAAGTAATACTGTACAACTACATAAAGAGTGCACAACAAGTGAACATCAGCTAGTTCTAAGTTGCCATCTTGTAGAAAAACCTACATAATCCCACAAAAAACCTATATATATAAAAACCAACATAATGTCACTTTTCTAGATACGTAATACCCCTTTCGCAAGTTCGGTCGGATACTAAAACAAAAAATTTGCTCTGACAGTGAAATATTCTACAGTTCAGAATGCGAATCTGCAAGTACGTTGTGCCTACTGGGACTTTGATATCCGCGAGTTGGAACAGTATACGTTGACCCAAATCCCAGTTGACCATTGCGAGAGGCCATTGGCTGGATGGAAATAATAGCAAATAACGGCGAGATAACATCCTTGCGGACAACACCGTCACGCGACAATATTTATACCATTATGTCGTGGCAAAAAACACAAAAACCGAGACGAATTTGCTTTATTAATACACCGTGTGCGGTTTCACTGGCTCTGAGGGTTTCTGTGTATGCGAGAGTGCTGCGTGATGGCGATTATGGCTTTTTTTATTGAAATATGGAGTCAAGCGGGTGGACTCACAATAGACCCACAACCAAGCCCACAACCAAGGTTTTTGATTACTGACAATATTCAAGTTAAGTATCTGGGTGTAGGCATGAGGAATAACTTCTGTTAATGAACAAGAATTAATTCGGTGTATTAACAAGATGTTCAACAAGAAACAATTGCCTGCCCATCAAAAAGACAGCAGCTCTTTAGGAACCCTTAACTACAACCTAAGTGGTTTAGTACAGAAAATCTGAAAACTGTAAAAAAATAAAATTGTTCGTTTGTAGTCGTATTAGACATGTGAATTAATCACAATATCAAAAATAAGCAACTGTAGTAATAGTCGAGACAGTATCTTTGCATCTGTACAGAAAAAATATTTTAATTTTTTTTTGCATAATCTCATCTAAAAAGAACCCAATCAAAAGAATCTTTATGTCGCCAAGCTCAAACTTCGTCAGAAATTGTTCGGACAATGCTTTTAATAGATCTCAGATATTATTTTTGCGCTCAACGGGATTAATGTAATCTAAAACTTATCCTGTGGTTTTCATGTTGATAATCATCTATGTTTGCCTGGCCGATGAAGCCACATATATTTGAAAAGTGCCATGTGCTGAAGATGGTCACAAGGTTTCTCTAAAGTTGATAGTTCTCTAGATATAAACAATTAAATCTTCAAAAACGGTCGAAACATACCAATTTCAGTTGACATATATTCTCCAAACATCGATTAACAAATTACAAAGCATTTCATGATGTATTGTTATTGTAAACCTTTGTTTTTTATTCGTTAATCAAGCGCACAGTCAATGTATACTCCACGTGAGCGCGCGAGGGATACAGCATAGGGACATCCGCTGATTCATCTCTCTCGAACTCACGCAGATTATACGTACATTACGGGTGTTCGCTTAACACTTAAAAATTAGGTCTACAATAACAGTACACCCGAAACGCTTTGTGATTTCGTTTCTGCATGTTTGAAGAAGATTTAGAATCTTTGCCAACAATAAAAGTAGTATATCGCAATTTTTCAAATAATAAATCGATTGTATCTCGAAAACTATCGACCTCAGAGAGGAATTCAAGAAATCTAAAAGCCTCGCCTAGAGAGAAAAAAATCTATTTTTGTAATTTGTTACAAAATTAGTAAAACGCTTTTTGACTCAATTTATGGGCCTGGCAAAATTGAGATTCTTTAAAACTTACAAAAATATCGAGTCAGAATATTTTGCTCCCGGACTAGCAAAAAGAGAAGCGGACGACATGTACCTTGGGTAGCCTTAATCAATATGAGCAACTCTGCTTTCAAATTTCAACTTTTTAATTCTTCCAGGCAAACCCTTCCCCGTAAAGAACTGCACCTTCTCCAACCAAACCACCAACTCGATGGAAGTGTTCTGCCTCCCAGGCTTCGACGGCGGTCTCCCCCAGCATTTCCTCCTGGAGTTTTATATCTCAGAGTCCGGCCGACCTCGCTTCAACATGACCTCATACACGGAGCCGTACTTCTTCCTTGAAAACCTGGAACCGGACATGACGTTTCGGATCGTCGTGTTCGCCGTAAACTCTAAGGGAAGGAGTCCTGGGGTCACGCTGGAAGGAGTCACTTTCAGAGATGCTGAGAAAAGGACAGGTAATTTATGCTCATAGACTTAAGAATGAGATTTATAAAACTGCAGTTATGAATTACTGGCAGAGGAACTTGATACCATCAATAATCGTATTTTTCCTGAAGATAGCCAAAAAATAGTGTTTATATTACCAAATTAAACAACAACGAAGATAAATCATAATTATTGTAGCAAATGTTGAAGTATAGTATTTGATTCTAGTAGTAGTCGAAATTATACTGCTTGATATACCTAGAGCAATTTTTTATTCAAAGAAAATATGCATATCCGATTATAAATATTATAATTATTTCGAAAATCCAACCATTTTTTCAGGCGCTCAAAAATGACCTTAAGAGCTCCAACTCTTTTGAAAGTGGATTTCTGAATCCATTTTTGTGGTGTGCTACTGTCTCACAGATGGCGCTAGAGTATCTTTCATATCCCAAGTTGGACGTTGAAATGCAGCATACGGCTGGCTAGAATACGTTGACTTCGACAATATATAAAGATTTAAGTTTAATTTTGCTGTTTTTTTCATAATCACGTTTATGCTATTATATTTTTGTTCATACGATTTGCATTTAACAAGAGTTGCTGCTTCTTGTCGGTTGGCTACTATTAATTATTTGAAATATTCTGTTAATTACTAACTATTTACCGATTCAGCACGTGTAGGTCTGTAGGTGGATCTTAAGCCATTTCGTTTTTTATTGCCATTTCATTCTATTTTGTTGCATTTTTGCTGTATCATATCAATAAAGTTTATTTTTGAGTTTTGTTGTTTTTGTCATTTTCCTGAGTTTGCATAAAATTTACAGCATGTATCTAAATGAGGATTCATATAGAATTCGACTTTTCGGAAACTTTAGCCTTTCAGCCTCCAATATGTAATGTGATATGTGAAAGAACAATACATCACGTCAAAATTTTTACACTCAATGCATTACATAGTGTGAGGGCTTAACTCAAGTTTTCGTGTTTCTATTCCGTGAGATTTTTTTTGAATAGTTATAAGCTTCAAACAAACTTCTCTCCTGTCGATCGAATGGTCTAGAATTATTATTGTTGCAGTCCCAGTCACTTTAATCCTTTGTACTAACTGCAAAAACCAACAGTTTTTATTTTTATCTGCCACTTCCACTATGTGAACACGATAGAACGTCCGCTAATGCAATGTGTACTTTGTGAAAACTGTTCTCTTCAATATTTATTCAAAGCGAGTTTGTTCTGTGTACCGCATCGGGTTTTTACAAATAATTACATATACACCAATAGTTTATTAGTTTTATATCGCAATAACGGGAAGTGCTGTATTGTTCCGATACAGAAATCGATAATTTCCAATCAAATACTAATAAAAAATTGGTTGGCATAAAATTTCCAGCCAGCAGTTATTTTTGTGCTATGATGGTGATAATCTCTAGAACGTGCAACAGATGTACTATTTTTTTAATGGATTTTTTAGCCCTCAAATTGGTTTGTCTCTACGGATTTTTTTTACCTTTTTAAAAGTTTTTGCCGTGTGGTTACAATGCCGTACTACAGTGTTTCCAAAAGTGCGATATGCGTACCCCCAGGGGTACGGGAAGGGCTAGGAAGAAGTGCGCGTAGCCAGTACTGCTGAATCAAATATGCTGAAACTGACAGACAAGACGACTTAAACTAAAACAAATATATTTAATGGATAAAATATCTATTTTAGATTAATACAAAATCCACGGCAGCTTTGTCTAATGTGGAAGAAGAACAATTTTTGAAAGTGGCGTCTGACGAATCCTCAAAAAAATAAACATAACGAGTGCAGCTTAACATCTTTCTGGTAACGAATTCAGAATGGGTATCCAGCTTCACAATCCTCGCATTATCGGCTCACTCAGTATTTAAAACAGATACATGAATGAAAAGGCGTATTTTTTAATTCACCGGTTGAGCCACCGGTGCAACGAATTATCCAGTTTTACTTCCTTTAATTTCCGTCTGAGCGACGGATTGTACAGCAAAATTGTCTATAAACTATATAGACAAGTTTATAGACAAGTTTGGTGTACAACCGGTCGCTCAGACGGAAATTAAAAGAAGTAAAATTGGATAATTGGTTGCACCGGTGGCTCAACCGGTGAATAAAAAATACGCCTAATGTATCGTAAGATTAGAGGCTTTCCGACCACCATAAGGAGCCAGTGCATATGCCGCTTAACCGGCCCTTCCTTAGATCACAAGCCTCGCCTTTTTAGCGAAATCGAGTATGGCCTTGAGTCCAAGCTCCTTGACGTCCTGAGGGTCCAAAGTAATTGAAACCAGTACAGTCTACCTATAGTAGCTCAGAGCTTCACAGCGACACAGAACGTGTGCCGAGGTCTCTTTCTCTACCCCGCAGCGCTCACACAGGGGATCCACAGCCACCCCCATCACGTGCAGGTGGCGCTTTATCGTGTTATGGCCAGAGAACAGTTCCTCCACCAGCAACCTTAGGATGGCTGAATCCAGAGATAAGCAGAAACGTCCATCCTTAGCACTGGGCCCTTCAATGAGTTCCGTTGCCTGGTCGAGATATCTGGAAATACTTCTTTATTTCTGAGATTGTTGTCTTGCAATCCGCGTCTCCATTTTCCTCCAACACTATGCGCGGGCACTCCTAAAGCTGGCCCAGGACTAAAGAGCTTGCTGGCCGTCCGTCGTCTCATTTAACCTTACTCTAGCGTGCCCAGGTACCCACATTAACGATACCGGATGCCTCGCTGCGAGGCAGTCCAAAGCAATACAAGACTCGAAGTAATCTTACAGGCACTTAGTGCCTTCATTGCGGCCTGGCTGTCGGATAACATTGTTATTCTTCTCCTTGGCCGACCCTCATCCAGAATGCGAGATACACAAGCCAGAATCGCAACGATTTCCGCCTGGAAAATAGTGGTGTATCTACCGAGAGGCAAAGATAGCCTAGTTCTAGGCACAGAGACCCCAGCGCCTCTTCGGTAACCGAGCCGTCCGCTCACTCCGGAGAGTCACCGACTACCGGCGTCCCCTTCCTCTCTTGTTGGATAGTCCATATTAAACTTGCGGTTGAAGCGACATTTAGGGGTAATAAGATCACCCCTGATTACAAGGACAGGGTCCTCCCTTTGCAATTCGACTAAGATGACAGTATGCCCCTTGATAGGATTCAGGAAGGACCAGCTGCCCTGACTCCACAGTCGATGAGCGACTACTATCGCTTCACCGCAGATCACTAGATCCAACGGTGGGAGATCCAGCAGAGCTACCATTGCACTCAATAGCGTTGCTCGCACTGCGCTTGAACTAAGCGTAACGAGCAGTTTTCCTCATACGGAGCAGTCAAGTCCCTGCTCAGAGACTCGACGGCTGCTTCTATATTAGAGCCCCTACAAAGTCTGTATGGGACCCCCAAGCTTACTGTCAAGGTCTGCCCTAAAGGACCCCCATCTAGTATGCCGAGCATATCTATCTGCAATCTCTCCATCAGTCTTAAAAAGTGATCCGATAGAGAGGGTGTTAGAGACACTTTCCAGTCCCTAATATCCTGAGGTAAGCTAAGCGTGGCCAGCGTTACGTCGATAACCTCTTTTGTGACACTATTACTGAAAGTAGGCGTGTTACCGTCAGTCAGAACCTCAAAGTTCAATGCCTGTAGGAACTCGATGAGGTCTTCGCCCCGTCTGTTGGTGTTCCATCCAATCACGAGGTCGAGTCCCGAATCCCTACAGGATGCGACAAAGTTCCCCAGATCCTTAGACGGAGGAGGTTCCCTTGAATCGTAATGACGGTAAGCCGAACATACGATCAGGTCCCTGTCAGCTCCTTCCTTCTTATATCTAATTCTAACTGCAACTAAGGCCCATATCGTCAGTCGTCCCTACAATTGTAGGGCGCGTTTATGGCCTCCGTGATTGTCATACTCCTTTCTCTCCTTCAAAAATTTCTAGACTACTCTTGTCCCGTGTCAGCGTCAGCGCTCTCCTATTGTAAAGATATGTTTTCTTTTTAAATTGTAGGAAATTTCAGGCTGATAAAACATGATATAACTCAAAAGCAAGCACAATTTGATGCAAACAGATGTTTGTGACATAACCTCATAATAGAGCGCTGACACGGAGAAGTAGAAAACTATGACAATCAAGGAGGCCATAAACGCGCCCTACAATTGTAGGGACGACTGACGATTCGGGCCTAAGTCTCGGAAGGTAAATTCTTTAAGTTGCCATGTGTTAATGGAAGTTGTTACGCAAGCTCTAGGCTTTGAATCCTGAGTATGGCTAAAAAGCGTATATCCCGGTACACTGAGCCCGTTTACTGAACCGTTTCTCAACCAGGGTTCCCGGTCGAGAGCCACGTCGTGTCGGCCTCGATAGATTACCTGAGTAAGGGCCCTCGAAGCCGCTATGCAGTGCTGTAAGTTAATTTGAATGAAATTAAGACTTACCATGGGTGTTGAGAGGCCCCTCCTACACCTTCCCGAATGACGGTATGTGTCCCCTATTCGGGGCCGTCGCCGCCACAGTCTTCACTGTCGCAGCCGCCTTCATCTCCGCGTCCACGGAGGAGTTCTCGGACTCTGTTCAGAATTCCTTCCTCGTCCGAGTCCTCTGGGGCCCTCTCCAGACAGGTCATAGATACATAGATTTTAGTTCGATTGCGTCAAAAATTGCAGACGTATACGTTTTATGCTCCCATGCCTTCTTCCATCCCATCATATTACAATGAAAGACATCAATAAATTTAGCCAGTCTAGAAAGAACCTATCTGCTCTAATAAACTAATAACTTCTGTTTTCATAAAATTATCAACCACACATTTTGCTGAGGATTTTCCAACTTTTTGAAACAAGAGTTATTTCTACAAACTATAAGTTATCAACTAGCTAATCAGTTTTTTGGGGCTCATCACTGACCGAAAAAATTCAGTTAATCTTGTTGACAGCATTTCCAAATACGGCAGGGATATTACGCAAAAAGATCGATACAATGTCATTAAAAATAGGTATAATGTTAACTGGTGTACTAAAAGTAGGCGCTAGCACATTTCGCGCCTACTGGCTGTGAGCGCCACCTGTGGAAGAGGGAAGATAATCATCAACGCAGATTATTACTACAAATCATCAGTGTGCACTACAGTGTTTCCTTCTAGTTATATTATGAATCTTACAGCTTAGGCCATACCCAAATAGCACAGAAAATCTGGAAGACGTCCGTTTTATGTGCTAATAATGTCTGAACACCTGAGACATTAAAAAATGTTTTCAAGATAAATTTAGTGCGATGACGAACATCCTGGCATGAGATAATCAACATCATTAAGACGTTTTCTTATGTCTTCTAGAAGAGATATAATTTTTGAAATGCAGCTTTTTAAAAAGTTGAAATATTAGTGAACCTATGAGAAATCCAAATTCTGAACACCCAACTAAACATTAAGGTAAAACTTATTTTCTTGTTTACCCAATCACGATTGAAGACATCCAATTTACTTTTAACATTCATATATTTTTCAATGCAACCTTATTATTTTAGACTATGTAAAATAAAAAGTTTTTAGATATCTGTATTTTTCAAACACCTTTTGTCTTTTTCTTGAAACATTTAGAAGGATTTATGGCAAATATTCTATTTTAACTCATTAATTAGCCACCAGATGACGATGCGTCGTTTAAAGTAACCACATTCCTATATTTACCTCTACAACATATCAAGCTCTGTCATCTGTCAATCTGGCAAAGGTGTCTTGGCCGCTTTCTGTTTTCCACAGTGTTGCCTTCGGAAA